CGCATCCCAAACAACTAGAAGGTCAACTGCTTCTTAAGGCAAAACTATTTTGCAGTGATTTATAGCCATATCGGGGAAAACAGAGCTCCTCCGTGGCTAAAACAGGCAAATAATGGATTGAGAACAACTTCTTCTCAGCACTCGAGAGCCCTTCTCAAGAAAACATCACACTCTTTACATAATGTAACAAAATGTAAGTTTTATTCCATATTATTAGTAATGGATGTGGAATAACCAGTTGAAGAGCTGGACTGATGTCTCCTTCTCCTTTGACCAGTGTTTAATATTCTAACTACAGTCCAAGATGTAACAACATTTACACTGAAAAATACTTACAGATTCAACCTCATACTCCAAAAAATTCTAGTACAAATACAGTTAGTACATAATAATAATAAAAAAAAAATAACAACAACAACAATAAAAATAACAATCCCAGACGCTTTGTAACAGCACAGACTGGTTATGGCCTTGAGTTAAGTTCAAGTATTTCCCAGTGGAATGCAATGCAAGCAAGAAGGTAATCTGGCTTTTACTTGGGACATTCCTGGCCCTGAATGGTAAGAAGAGAAATATAAGTGTGGGCACTTCATCTGACCAAGTTTAGCAAGAGAGTCAACATTTACAATTAGTTCAGCTGCAGAGCCAAACCTGCCTCGTGTGTGAACAACACTGCAAACTGTAAAAAAGGAAAGCAAAGTGTTAATTGTACTACTGGCATTTCTTCCATGGCTGATGCTCCGTGGTTTAACTGAAATTCCTTGGGCTGCTGGTTGGGTTTGGAATGGTTCTGATGGGGATTTTGCTCGTGGTTATGCATATTTTCCCTGTCTGTCCTTTTCCTTCCCCAACTGACACGATAAAAGAAGGGACTGTTGCTCCTGCCCCCGAAAGGAGTCATTCCTGCAGAGTCATTAATGCCTTCGTGGCAGTGACTCAGTAGGAAGAGGCAATATCCTAAAGGATTTAGAGGTCACCGAGTGGAGGAGGAAGGGGGAAAGTGAGCAACTCAGTATACAGAGTAATAAAAATAAAAATAATAATAATAATAATCTTTTCTGTTTCTAGGGCTGTCTGACTCGTGCTGGCTCAGATGGGATCTGGGAGAACCAGGATCCCTCCTCCCCAGGCTCAGAGGAGCCAGGGGTGCCCTCCAGGCTGGCTGGGACCTGTAGGAAACTTTGCATCTCTCCCAGACAGCTCATGACACGGGAGCACTCCTGCTGGGAATGTGCCCTTGTGCTTCAATCCCTGCCAAAACACTTGGAAAACACGGGAAAGCAGTGTTGGAAGGGATGTTATGCAGGGAAGCACCTCAGGGCTGGCAGATGAGTGGGGCTGGCTGGAGGGAGGGTGCAGAGAATGGGGCCCCTGTGTCCCTAAGCAAGGGGGGTGTATTGATCACCCAACAGTCTGCCCTGGCTCTGGCACTCATCAATACTGCAGTTATTGACTCTGCCCATGGAAAACTGCGTGTGAGTGTTCAGTGTGCTGGTGACACCAGCAGGGAGGGGGCTGTGAACCCGCTGCAGGACCCACAGGTCACCCAGAACCACAGGACTGTGGTGGGACAGTAAAAAAAAGCAGTTGGAAGGAGGGCAGGAGGGTCCCAAATGCACAACCACACATCTGGAGAGAGGAGCAATCCCCATGCCTGTAGAGGATGGGGTTTTGGGGAGGACCAGGGTGGCAGATGGATGCGTGGAGAGGAGAGGGAAGGTGGCCCCAGTACCAGCACTGCCACACCACTGGGAAGATGTGGAGTGGCTGGTGTTGGTTCAAAGACACCAGGGAAAACCACGCTAAAAAAGCAGCCCTTGGAGAAAGGTTGATGAGGCTGGAGTTGTTTGCCTTAAAGCAGATTTGAGGATGGAAACAATCTTCAAACACCCAAAATATGCAGATGTTAAAAGCATGAGACATCCTCCATTGCTGAGGGGAGGAGACACCAGGGGTTGCAGTGAGGAGGGTTCATGTTACCCATTAAGGAGTCATTTGATGGTGGCAAGTTGGCAAGAAGATCCATGGTCCTTTCCCAACCTTGCTGCTCCAAGTGTCTCTGAACCTACAGCCACAAAGCCCTGGAATCTCCTCACATCAGGCACTGACCCCCTGTATCACTGAGGCAGGTAAACCTGCCCTGTAAGAGTGGGTTTAATGAGTTGATCAGGTCTCTGCAACCAGATTTGGGGGTTTTTGGCTTAAAACGTGTGCCCTGCTTTCTCCACAGCGAGACATTTGCCAGGATTGTTTCCTGAAGGAAGAGCAAGGGAGGCACATTCCCATCTCTTGGTGAGTCAGTGGTGAACCTGCAGGTCAGCAGGAGCTGAGGGGAACATCTGAGTCACTGGGAAATGCTCAGATCACATCTGGGGCTTAGGGAGATGTCACTGGTATGGGCAGGACAAATCCAAAATCCAGACTCCTGCACAGGGCAGCACTTCCCAGCGTTGTGTGGGAAGGACGAGTTTACCCAGGGCTGCTCATCCAAAAGGAATCAGAAGAACCCAGGCAGCATCCAACCATGGATCTCCTCAGAGCTTCCATCATTCCTTTGGGATCGTGACTTTAAATACACACTGTTTCCCATGGGACACAGGGCTGCGAATAAAAGAGAAGTCACACTGATGTGGAGGACAACCTTGTGCCCTGTAATGACTAGGGAGAGATTTCCACCCAGGAGCACCTCTCTCTCCTTCCTGGGGCTGGGGACGTGCAGGTATTTAGGGCAGGAGACAGCAGCCCTGTCAGCATCCAGCCTCTCCTGCTCTGCCCAGCACACCCCCAGCCAGGAGAGAACACAAGGACAAACAGCACAGTTGGATATGTTTGTCTCCCCACCACCGTGGTGTGAACTTTCTGAGCCTTTCCTGCAAAATTCCCAGCAGAAAGGGATGGATGTGTGCTACTGCCACAGCTGGGGGGATGTGCTGATCCTCCTCCTCGATGCATTTTGGAGGGGAAGATCTCCAGCAGTGAGAGCAAACAGCATTCCAGGCATTTTACCAATGCCTTCAGCAGGACCAGGAACAAGCCTGGAAGTCTTCCCCAGGCTGTTACACAAAGCCACACTGAATATTTGCAGCTGGATACCTTGTAGGGTGTTTCTTTGCTTCCTTTTCAATTCCACTTTTTGTTCTCTAAAGGCATGGAGCAGCTCAGCTGAGGTTCCCAGGAGCTGAAGGGCATATCCAAATTTTCTGCCTGTTCCTCAGAACGGCCAAAGGGCCTGGTCACAACAGGCATCCTCAAGGCTTTCAGGGACTGATCTCAAGGACATGGCAGTGATGCCCAGGAAGAAATCCTGTAAATCCAATGGAGAAAAAAATACTGGTCCAGGGACCTGGATGTGACTTTGGGTGGCTGGCACAGCCCTGAGGGAGCAGCTCAGCACAGGGACAGTGCCGTGTTAGGGAGGATTGACTTCTTTTGTGTCAGGTTTGATCTTGAAGGCTCTGCCTATTTGGGTTCTCCATGGTGAGGAATCAGCCACGGGATTATTGGGAGGTTGTGAGAGCATCTGCCAAGCCACAGGTCTCTTGGGAATATCTCAGGGATCAGACTCTCTCTGGTAGAGTTGGGCAGCTCCTGGTTTCAGCCTCTGCCACTTGGCAGGAGATGCCCCCTGTGCTCCCAGTGATCAGGTTTTCTTTCTGTAGGGGAACAAAGCCACAGCCCCAGAGCTGTGCAGGAGACATGGGATGGAACCACCCTGACAAAGCACATCTCAGCACCAGCAGGAGCAGGAGCAGGAGCCTTGGAGCTCAGCAGCTTTCATAAAAACAAGCCAAGCTGAAAAAAACACCCCATAAACTGAGGAAAAACTTCTGCTGCCATCCTAGTCCTGTCCCCACCGAAGCCAGATCTCCTGCAAAGCCCCTCAGGAAAGTGTGGGAAACTTCCCCATGGCCCAGGTGAGGCTGGAGGCTGAAAGCCCAGCAACTGCTCCAGGATGAGATCAGCCCCAGCCCTGGAGCAGCTGGGTTTTCCCAGGGGAGGTGGAAGGCAGTAAAATGACCAGAGGGTTGATATTACATTTACATATATCTCTCTATGTCTGTATTCACACACACATGTTCATATGTGTCTGTATATATACGTACACGTGTACACACACACCATAGACACACTATGCATAGATCTGCCTTCTGCCACTATTTATAAGGGTTTGATTCATCAGAAAAACAAACTTACCAACAGAGATCTTCCTTGATTCATCAAAAAAACCCCAGATTTGCCAACTGAGATCTTCCTTGATTAACCAGAAAAACCAAATTTGCCGACGCCGACCTTCTGACCTCTACTTAAACTCAGCAAATAAAGAAGCCTAAACCCTCTACGCTTTTTGTTTTCCTGGTTGCATAAAGGCACTTTCTGATGATGTGAAGCAGCAGTTCATTAAAAAAAACTCTGTAACTGCAAGGATTCCCATCACATCTGTAGCAAGGGCTACACAGGCACCGGTAGGATGCAGTGTCACTGCTCGCTCCTGCTCCGGAGGGTTGGAGCAGATCTGCTTTTTGCTTCAACACAGAGGAATAAAAGATGAAACCTTCAGTGCTGGGCTGTTCTTAGGGCTCTCTGTGTGAGACAGTCGCTGTGTTCCCGCCCCATAACCCCATGTGGGTGCCAGCTCCTGGCTTGCAGCATCCAACAACGTCTTCATGATGCCCTGTAAGAGCACCCGCCAATCCAGGCCGGACGCTGTGTCGCGAAGGTCCGCGCAATGTGTCAGTTGTTCTCATATCAGGGGATCGGAAATTAATTTGATTAAGGGTATTTAGTAATTAAACGCCGCCTGACCTGCAGCCCTCAAGCCTTGCCGTGCAGGAGGGCGGCTGCTCGTGCCAGCCTGACCTCCCTCCTGAGCCACCAGCAGCTCCACGTCCCACCACAGCGCATTGTCCATCCCTGCTGGGGGCTCCGGTGGTGACCCAAGGGGTGGGAGGTGCAAGGGGGTTGCTGTTACTCACTGGAGGTTCCTGTTACTCACTGGAGGTTCCTGTTACTCACTGGAGGTTCCCAGCTGGAGAACACGTTGGAAACAGGGAAGAAATGTCTTTTGTTAACGCCTTGGAAGACAGCACTAGACTGGTCTGAAACTCCTTTTCTCTCTCTCTCGACTTCCACACAAAAACTGTGCCTGTGCCCAGCGAAACGAACGCAAGGTAACGCCAAAAACCAGAGACAAACCAAAATAACCCCCCCACTTATGCTGCCCCCTCACCTCTTCCACAAAGTTATATCCACACAGACGTCTTCCCGTCCTTACTGCTGGAGCTCCCCTTCTCCAAGGAGGCCTTGGGTTTAGCACCTTGTTTCTCCTGGGCGGTGTTGGCCCTATTCTGCTCCACCACTGTGCCCCCTGAGGCAGGACTGCTGGTCCTGGAGGGCTGGGTGTTGGCCTGGGTGCTGCTGTAGCTCTGGAACGCAATGTCCAGCTGCTCCTGGGCCACCCGCAGGTGCTTGTGAAGGGTGGACAAATCAGCCGGGAGGTTCTCGTCCGGGCTGGTGCACTGCTGCTCCTGGGCCACGTTGGCCAAGTTCTGCTCGTGGGCCATCAGGCTGTTGGGGATCTTGGTGGACTTCTCCGACTTCACCACCAGGTTGTACTCGGGGGGGCAGGAGATGTTCTTTGGGTAGGCGTAGTTGTAGGGCGGCTGCCTGAAGCTGTTGATTTTCCGGTTGCGGATGGCGTCGCGGATGGTCCCGAAGCCCAGGTGGAACATCTCACACATGTTCAGCAGCAGGCACAGGCAGCTCACCACGTACATCACCAGGAGGAAGATGGTCTTCTCCGTCGGCCGGGACACGAAGCAGTCCACGGTGTGAGGGCAGGGCACCCTGTTGCAGACGTAATACGCCTCCACCTCAAAGCCGTAGAGCAAATACTGCCCTATCAAAAAGCAAACCTCAAAGGAAGCCCTGGTGAGCAGCTGGAAGACGTAGATCTTCATCAGTCCCTCCTGCTGGATGCGCCTCCTCCCGTCGTGCTTCTGCGGCTCCTTGCTCTTGGGCTTGGCTTTGGCCTTCTCGTGCTCCGCCGCGTCGTCGGAGATCATGGGCTCCTCCTCGTCGGCCTCCATCGCGTCCTCCATGTTGCGCACGGCCTGCCAGTTCAGGGCAAACTGCTTCTTCTTCTTGAACCCCTTGAACTTCTTCTCCTCCTCGGCCGAGCGGGCGATCCTGTGGATGGCGTAGCCCAGGTACATGACGGAAGGGGTGGAGATCACGATGATCTGGAAGACCCAGAACCTGACGTGCGACAGCGGCGCGAAGGCGTCGTAGCAGACGTTGTCGCAGCCCGGCTGCTTCGTGTTGCAGGTGAACTTGCTCTGCTCATCGGAGTAGATGGACTCGCCCCCCACTGCGGTCAGGACGATGCGGAACACGATGAGCACGGTGAGCCAGACCTTCCCCACGAAGGTGGAGTGATTGTGAATCTCTTCTAGCAGGCGGGTGAGGAAGCTCCAGCTCATGTTGGTCATAAGGGCTACTCAGTTATAACCTGCAGGAAAAGGGGGGGGAAATAAAAACCACGGTTTTGTGAGGTCATGTCTTGTGTCAGCCACGGAGCGGCCAGAAGGAGCAGGGCAGGGATTGTCCCCCCCTGTGCTGGGCACTGGTGAGGTCACACCTCAAATCCTGGGGGAAGTTTTGGGCCCTTCATGACAAGAAAGACATTGAGGGGCTGGAGCGTGTCCAGGGAAGGGAATGGAGCTGGGAAGGGTCTGGAGCACCACGAATGGCTGAGGGAGCTGAGGGGGCTCAGCCTGGAGAAAAGGGGGGAACTCCTCCCTCCCTACAACTCCCTGAGAGGAGCAGGGAGCAAGATGGGGGTCGGGCTCTTCTCCCAGATAACAAGTGGAAAGGACAAGAGGAAATTGCCTCAATTTGCACCAGGGGCAGTGTTCCACTCCAGATTTTAAGCCATAAGCTGCCCAGAGAGGTTACATTTTATTAAAGACTTTTTAAAAGCCCTTTGGTTTCCTATAACCTCAAATTAGTGTCCAGAGAAAGCATCACACACTCTTCTCCAAGAGAAGTTCTTTTAATTTAGTGAGAAAAAACAAGATATTTTGGCAAAAGGTTTTACAGGAGGAAAATACAACCAAGAAAAAAATATTTCTTTTCCAACCTAAATGATTCTGTGGGATAAACTCACTCACACAATGGGTTCAAGGGCCTGAGCTGAAAGCAGGAGCCGAGGGTGCTGCCCACATCACAGAGACTTGCACTGCTGCAATATCCTTCATTAGCAAACCCAGAAAAATGCAAAGAATCAGCGAAAGAATGGGAATATTTATGTTTACAGGCTGATGGCCCTTTTAAGTCCCTTTTGAAAAACACAAAACAAAACAAAACTTTAATCAAATGCAGATTGTTTCAAAAATAAACCTTGAAAAAGCTTTCAAGAGAAACCCGTGCATTTATTAGGAGACCTGGACAGCTGGGGAGGAAGAGCTTGTAATAACTATTCTGTGTTTAGCTTAACTTGCAGTGGGACCTCAGCTCAAGCTCCTTGGGTGACCCCAGGCATCACTAAAGACAGGAGGCTTTTTACTGCTTGACTGGCACAGCCCTGACAGATGCCTGGAGGTGAGAGTGACAGGGAAAATATCATGGAGCTAGAGAGCACTGGAAGGAGGGAAGAGAGAGGGAAGAGAGAGGGAAGAGAGAGGGAAGAGAGAG